TAACATAAAATCACGCTCTAAAAAGTTTGGAACAAGAAATTTATTATAATAGCGATGACCAAAGGACAGTGTAGCCCTGTGCCACTGATCATAACAAAACAAACTGTTGTGTCATACCACTACACTGTCCTTTGGTCATCGCTTTTATAATATAGCTATGGTTATAAAATAAATTTCTTGCTTCAAACTTTTAAGAGCTTGATTCAGTTGTAATTTATTATTATTTATTTTTGGTTGTATTCGCAAGCAAAAGCTATCAATAAATATACATATTTGAAATGTGCTAATTACTCGTAAGCTCTTTCATTTGATGGAATGGTTGATTTTTGTTTTAACTTTTTGGTTGACTTTTTGCTCTCTAGAGGGCGCTGTTGCCAATTTAATGTAACGTCACAAAGCATGCGGTCAACTAAGACACTTCTATTGATACCTCATTTGTCCAATTACAATGTTGTTTCAATGTTTATATAACATGAGTAGATGTTATATAAGGGAATAGATGAACATTCTAACGTACTTACCAGCCAAATTCAAAACCCTTATTTTCGCTTCGACTCAAGGATAATACTTATTCGAGTTGATTTTTATGAAATTCGAAATGACTTCACTTTCTTATGATTTCGGTTCGAAATGAATTTTTTAGTGATTTTTGTCATTGGCTTTTGCTTAAACAGTCATTGAATAAATTGATTTTAAACTGTTAATGTAGTTTTTAAACAATAGATTTGTCGTAATAAATCTGAGCAATTTAATGTTGTGTAATACGTGTGTATATAGGTTTGATTAATTATTGGTAGCCTATTTATGTCCCAGTTCCAGGTCCCAGTCTCTGGGGGGCAGGCCTTCCCTATGGATTAAATTGAATCAGTAGAATTATTCACTCCGCCATCCCATTCATTATCCCATCCCGCGGGCACAGTTTTATTGGTGGGTGTATAGAATAAAATATAGTATTATGATGTCTCATATTTGAGATAGTACTGATTCAGTAACTCGTGAATTTAATGACATTTTCCAACGTTACTAGTTGACTTACAGCCTGTTGCACTAATGTCCATCAAAATATTCATTAGTTAAAAGCGACATTATTCATACAAATTTGACATTCATTTGAGCTTAAAGGCGTCATTAAACCTTAATGGACGTTTGTGCAACTGACCGTTACTCCCGTTGTAGAATAAATAACTGAAATAATTTCACTGATCGACGTTATAATTTTAAAGCAGATCCAAATTAAAATTAGGTTTTCTAAGTTTAGTTTAAAGAGTGGTGGAAGAATTGTCACTATTTTATATGTTAATAGTTATCTTTTCAATGCAGACTGTCTGAAATGCATTCCTTTGGTCGGAGAGAAGACCGCAATGGTGTATAAAGATCACAGTTTCTCATTCGTCGGTGGCAGTCAACTCTATAAATATCTACGATGCACGAGATATAGAAGAGGGGCATGTCCAGCTCGTTTGAAATTGAATGAAAATGGATCAGTTATTAGTGCGCTTACGGAACACAATCATCCGGCGCCTAAATTTTTCAAGAGGAGCGATGGGTTATATTATAAAATTTAGTGTTGATATTATGCGGGTTGTTACAATAGTTAAATATCGCTTATGCTTAAAATGCTTAAAAATCCATTTTTTTCCCTGCACGCGTAGCATGACGAACTCGAGAACGATTTGTCTACACTCAAATGTCACTTTTCTCGGGTGCGCCCATACGATATCTCACTATCGACCCGAGAAACTGACAAATGAGTGTAGACGAAGCGTTTCTCGAGTTTATCATGCTACGCGTGTTGGTCCTATCTCAAAGTACCTACCAGGGACAGAGTGGATTTTTTAAGCATTTTTCATTATTAATATTATTATATTAATTTGTAAATTTTATTTTCAATATTTTTAATTTTAGGTGTTCTATAAGAAGCGAGTAGCTCCGTGGCGTAGTGGATACGCGCCGCGGCACGTGATCGTTGTTGTTTAGCTACTTTCGCAAGGGTCGGTCACGGAATGGGTGACCAAAAACATTATTATCTCGAGCTACTCCGTGCTTCGGAAGGCACGTTCAGCCGTTGGTCCCGGCTGCATTTGCAGTCGTTTCTACCTGCATACCTTCTATCCGCATTGGGCCAGCGTGGAAGATCTTGGTCCATCCTTCCTTAGCCATCCATACAGAAGGCCTGACCCCCGTGCAGTGTGAATTTAAAAGGGCTGATGATGTTTTTAAGAACTGGATTTCGTAAACTAGTTTTATTGATTACATTACTGAAACTTAATCGTCTATTGTACAAGCTCACCACGTCGGACTCCAACAGAATTTCTAATTATACTCCATCGATTTGAAACTGAATGCTTTTGTTATTAAGGCTCAAAATTTATTGTTTGTTTTTGACTTAAATTTATTCAATAAAACTTCGATCGTGATTGAAGCAATAAAATGAAACAATATACTGGAATTGTAAAAGGAGACAGACTAAATATGTTTCTAAGTGAGTGGTTATTCATGTTTACAAAAATTTACTATGTTCAGTTCTTATAAAATTCACTCTTTGTTATATTGTGGATATGTTCTCCAAAAATAATAAGTAATTAATAATTATGTTTTGGGTAATAATAAATACTATATTTATTATATCTAATCTATTTTTTTTTATCGTATGTGTAGGGGAAATCCGGCATACTTGATCAGGTAGGAAAATTTTAAACAGAGTGTATGTTATGTATGGAGCATGTCTCCTACGTGGGGTGCGACCGCCCAACTCTAGTCATGATTCTAGCCGTAGGACAAGACATCTTATCGATGTTATTGGCGACATTTCTTTTCATTTTACTTCTTTGACATGTCTTTTGGTATCCACTCCATCCGGATTTAGGATAAATTATTAATTTCTGTTGAAGTATCTTTGAAATTCCCGCGTTCCAGATAGGTGTAATTTTTGACACTATTTTACCCCTGCTGCATCGCTCTCTCTGCTCGAATATTCGTTGCTGCAATGTACGCTAATTTTAAAAAAGTGAGAAATAAAACAACGTATTAACTGTTTTATTACAATAATTTCAAATCCATAATAATCATTCTTTATAATTCTTTCGTCTTTTATAAAGAACATGTAAAATTAAGGTCCGATCCCCTAAAGGTCCGATAACGTTTTCAATTTATAAGAGACTAGTATATATATATATATATATATATATATATATATATATATATATATATATAAATATATATATACATATACTTTTAGCTGTACAATAAGGAATTATGACGTTTTTTTATATTTTTTTTCTGTTGTATCGCAGATGCATTGGAGTATATACAGTTGGCTGGTAAAAAACAGGTAGTATTGTATAAGAACCATACATTCTCGTTCATCGCACCTTCTAAGAAGTATCTACGTTGCTCCAAATATAATAGTGCCTGTAGGTGTCGAGTAATTTTGAAACTGGTCAATGGTAGGATTGAGATTGGTGGATCTGTTGAACATAATCATACACCTCCTCTTCTGTACAAATCTAAAGAAGGAAAGTATATTAAATTATAAAAAATTGCAAAATAAATATATGGATTCATCAAATAAGTGTCAATAAACAATGACAATTGTTTTGCCAAAGTTATGCTGATAAAATCCCTCGAAAAGAGACAAATCTCATTGGCAAATATTGTTTTATTTGGTGGCAAATGAATGTCAAAATCAACTTTTCTATTGAATGTTTTAAATATTATGATTTAACAAACGAATTATATGTGCAACTGAATGGCGCAATTCAAATGAAAGGCTAGCCTGTCCAATTAACTAGATACATTATAAAGATTCTTAAATAAATTCTGATATTTAATTTACTTATTTTCCGATATAATAAATGAATAAAATTGATATATGAGTCATTTTTTTTAAATGTAGTAAATAAAACAATATCAATATTACGAGGAAACACTGCATCATCATCTTCCTTTTTTTTTGAGCAAAGTCAATCAATCAACTGTACAAAATTATATTTTAAGGTAAATACAGGAATAATAAGTTTTTTTTCTTGTTATTTGATTGAGTTTTATTCGGTATTTGTTGTTTAGTAAATGAAACCTAGCTAGATTGATTTATTCGAAATCCTCCGAAAGGACCCCGAAACAGAATACTAATTGTCTAGAAAATCATTGGAGCTGTTTCCGAGATCCAGATTATATCATGTATACAAAAGAATAAGTATACATATGATTATACATAAGAATTACTCGTTTAAAGGTCATGTAAATGATGAATTTTCAGAGTGAGTTTGATATAAAATATAATATCTCGTTTAACAAGTTTAAATTACACTGAAGTTATGATGATTACAGGATATGTTCCTGCAATAATTATAATTTAAGCTTATCAGTAAAACGGAATTTAGTGAAAAACAATAAATATACATAAACATCCTGTACAAGACTTGTGTCGAGAAACAAAACTTTTGTGCATTTAGTCCGTCGTAAGATGCATATTATATTATATTATATTATTATATTATATTATATTGAATTATTTGTATCAATTTTTTTTTCAGACACCAAAGTGAAACCAATGCCTTTGAAGAATCAAAATGTACGATTGTTTATGTATAAGAATTACACGTTTTCTTTCTACGGCTCAAAAAGTACCCTTCGATGCTCTAGACATCTCAGAGGCAATTGCAAGATTAAACTAAGAATTAATAAGAATATGGAGGTGATATTTCACGAAGGATCGCACAATCACGACCCGCCTCGGTACCATGAAACTGAAGACGGTTATTTTGTAAAAATAATGTAATGACCAACAGTCCAATCAACAGATATGAAATCTGTTGATTGGTTCTGTCGTATTTTTCTATGGGCCAATAATGTGTATTGGCTTATAGAATTGCCAAATTAGGTCCAGTCGGTAAATTACGTCAGACTCGACAAGAGGCAGCGTCCTCTTTCTGTCAAGCTGATCTACGTAAGTTCTTTTATATATATTGTTCAAATGTCACTCTTTGTCGACCTCTCTTTTAAACCGAAAGTTGTCAACTCTTAATTTTTCATGCCATAATATTGTTGTTATAATTGGAATACATTAGATAAATATATCAAACCTCTGTTTTTGATATTTGTTAGCATAAGTACTGTCAGTTTATAAAATAGCTGTATTCATTATTGGATAACTAGTTTAAGCCAATATAACTTGTGAACGAAGTCGCGAGTAAAATAGATAAGATATATTGCAAAAAAATAAAATTCATATTTTTTTATATATCGGAATTCAACGATGAAAATAATCTTTAAATGGCAGATGTATCAGTGTGTTCTATTTTTTCCAGATTACGTTTTTATACCTGGTCTAAAGAATGAATTACTCATGTTTGGTGGTTATTCCTTCGCCCAAAACCACACAAAGAGACTATGGTATTGTTCCCAGAAGAGATTGGGTTGTAAAGCGAAGGTACAGATGAATTCTGACAATTGCATTGTCTTTGCGGACAGTGAACACTGTCATAAACCACCTGAATATCACATTACTAAATCAGGACAATATGTATTACTACGAAATAGTAAAAAAAGAAAGAGGTCCAAATGAACATCCTTGTGGTATCATAAATGACGAAAGTTTTGATGTTTCCTTCATATGAGAGGTTCAATGAACTTGTGTATTAGTAGTATAATATAAAATATTTGACATTAGACTTAAAGTGGTTTGGAATTGTTAAACTTAAGAAAACTAACTTACCATCCATCTAATATTATTAAAACTCCTTATTGGAGGTTATTGATGTTGGATGTATTATATAAGAGATTAAATAATAATAAACGTCAACTACTGGTTACTTTGAATTTTCTGATTCCGGTTTCCCGTTTCAGTCACAATCACTTTAAGGGGGTTCAATATCAGTAATTTTTAATTAGTTTTGTAAAAAGAAATAATGTCAAAATATATACCATATATACCATAGGGGGAGGCCTATGTTCATCAGTGGACGTCTTCCGGCTGATGATGATGATATACCATATTATGAAAGGGCTTGTCGTAAAGATTTCAATCAAATATGATAGCTGAAATCACCAAGTACATAATTATTTGTTCTATTATATCACACATCGTCATGCCCAGACTAAAGTGGTGACATGTAGCTATTTAATATCATGGTGACATGTTTCATAATTTATTTCGATTTTGGGTGTAATTCCTTACGTTTTTGCAGATTATGTTTTGATACCTTCTGGTCGTCTTAAGCATCAACTGCTAATGGTGAATGGATATACATACTCTAAGAATAACAGAAGTTATTTCTGGTTTTGTTCTCAACGGAACAAATTGTGCAAGGCCAAAGTAAAGTTGAATCTAGAAGGGAAGATTGTACAATTGTTCGACGATCACAACCACGAACCGCCTGCGTATCACATAACTGCTACTGGTCAGTACGTTAGGATCAAATAATCTGTTTGAAAGTGATTGACACTTTCTTGCGTCCGGAGGTCTGGAATCTTCACCGTGAGGGTTGTGAAATTTTTAATAAAAAAAAAATTCTAAGTTTGTGGTACCGTGTAGTCGTTTAGATTCAATGTGAGATTTTCGATTTCAGATATATTACTTCAATTGAAATAATCCAAAGAAATGGTACAATTGCTCATATTTAGTCTCTTAGATATAGATATTTAAATTAATCATTCCTTTGCTGTAAACCTTTCTAGATTAGCATTAATCTGTGACGAGAAACGTCATTATAAATATATATTATTGAAATTCCATTGACTTAATATCAATATTTTAAGGTTAGCAGATAAAATTATGTCTATGTTTTGTAAATATATGTTATAAACAATATTTAACGTTTTATTTCCGATAATGTCGATGACAATATATGTATTTATTACTACGATAAAGCATGTTGGTTTGTAGCAATACAAATACTTGGACATACTTATATTGCCCCTGAGGAAAATACTTCAGGTGCCATTAATAGGCATACCAGATTTTACTATAAAAAATACACGTACTTCAAGATAAATAATGGACATCAAAAAGCGTCGCAACAATTGTGTGATAATACGAAAAAAATTTACAAAAGTAATTTTTCTTAAAATAATTTCAACTAAATTGTAATTAAATAAATATCAACGTTGTTTAAAAACAGCAAATTAGCTGGAAGCCTTGCGAGTGGCGCGCCTGGGTCACTATTTTATCAGTTGCAAATAGTATTGAAAATAAGCAGGATATATAATCCTGCTTCATGTTTGTGTAGATGTAATATTTTTTTATATATAAATTTTATAAGAGCACGTGCTGCATTTTCACTCGACAAAGTTTGCGATCGCAATCTTACCTAATTAGGTCAGTAACTCGTAGTGATCGTAATTTAGCGATTATTGCGAGTCTCTACCGATGTCGCTACACATAAGTATATTAAGCACGTACTGAGTACAAATATCCAATGAACAATATTCGGTAGTTTACTGCCGATAGCTATGAAGCTGTGTCGGGTTCGATGCTTGGGCAAATAATAAAAGGCTGACTAGCTTGAGAATGGATTTATTTTGTGGTATAAATGGTAAAGAAAAGAAACCCTTTTTGGGTTTCTAAATAAAAACTTGGATCGTCCAAGTTTCAGGATATACTTTTATTATATTGTATAATTTATAATTTTATTTTAATAACATATATTCATTATTAAATTTTTTATATTTAAATTTATACGATTTACAATATAGGTATAGATAGATAGATAAAAAGTTTATTTCCTCAGCAACACACAATTACATCACACAAAAGAAACAAAGAGGAACAAGAAACAGAAATATACCTGTGTGCAGCAGTTGAGAAAATGGTCTCGGCTCGGTGCACTAAAATCATCTAATGCGGATGAAGCACCGATTTTCAGCCATCACCCTGAATGAGATGAGCGGGGACAAAATATATATTTGATTTACATGTTTACAACAGATGATTTTTTTACGAACTGACATCCATATACAGTATATTTGATTAGTCAAAATTTCAAATTACGAAAGGTAAATATTAATAAGAAATGATGTTGAATATCAAAGACAAAAAGTTTGCTTGTTGAAACCTAGGAAAAATAAACGGTGGTATTGCACACCGTTACAAAGTTATTAAATTGATAAATGGAAACCAAACTCATGCTCAGATTCCTCGTGGTAATCTGTTTAATAATTTATTCTGTTTTTCTCCTTTAATCGCAAATGTATACCCATATTTTATATGTTATATTTTAGATTATATTTTGATACCTTCTGGTCATAAGCATCAACGATTAATGCTGAGCGATATATATATTCAAAGACAGACAGAGGTTTCTGGTTCTGTTCTCAAAAAAAAAAAAACAAATCGTGCAAGGCCAGAGTGAAGTTAAATCAACAAGGAAAGATTGTAAAATTGGTCGACGGTCACATTCACGACCCACCTGTCTACCATATAACTAGTACTAGGACAGTACGTGAGGATCAAATAATCATAAATTTTAAACTAAACAGAGTCCAGATACTTTCAAAAAATAAATTGACTCTCATATGTCATTATATGGTCAGTGTAGTGTAGCCAGTGCAGTTTGTGGATTGTTTGTCGAAGAAAACTCAGGTCATTGTGTTTTTCTCTTTTCTAGCTAGATTTGCTTTTCATTAAAAGAATTCCAAATGGATCCTTAAAATCGGCCACTTTCTTATATCAACTTGGAGTCCCTTAGATTTATATATTTAAATGTTCTAGTCCTTAATCCTGTTCTTCGTCCTGTTTAGATTAGTGTTAATTTGTGACGAAAGCTTCCAAAATAGAATCGAAAAGGTAATACAAGAAAAGGAGTTTAAATAACATCTGTAAAAACAAGATATTTTTGTAAAAATAGACTTTATTAAACATAGTTATGTTAAAACATTATTAAATGATTTTATTTCTGAAATAACTATGGAATTATATCTTTTTAGGGTGCCGTACACAAAGGGTAAAACTGGATCCCTATTCCTAAGACTTTGCTAATTGTCATTAGGCTGTATCTCATGGACCGTGAAAGTTAGTCAGTTGAAATTTTCACACATGATATATTTTATTAACAAGGCCGTAGCCTCCATTGCTTGTAAAGAACAGACAAAATCTTTTAGCCAGCTTCTTTGAATAGCCACTGTTCTAGGCGTGCTACGAGAATGTACATCCTGTCAACACACCACCCCGATATAAAATATACCTATTAACATGATGAAGCGTGTTGTATTATTAAAAATATTCATATTTGCCCCTGGCAAAATACTTCAGACGCAGTTAGATTAGATTAGATGGGTGAAAAAATAAATACCCGTTTTGTGGTTGTGACAGAACCTTTGGAAATACGGTGTAGCGAATTATTTAACAATAAATACCTACAATTATTAAGATATTATTCGTATCTGCTATAAAATTGATAACTGGAAACCAATGTTTTATTGTCTTGTATCGCGTACGTCATGCTGAAACTCCTCGTGGAGAATTGTCTTATAATTTATTCCGTTATGCCTTCTATTGAAAATGTTTATTTATATTTTCTTTACGTTATTTCAGATTATATTTTGATACCTTCTGGTCATAAAAATCAACTGTTAATGCTGAACGGATATACGTACTCTAAGAATAACAGAGGTTTTTGGTTCTGTTCTCAAACGAAGAAATCCTGCAAGGCCAGAGTGAAGTTAGATGAAATAGGAAAGATTGTGAAATTGTTTGACAATCACAATCACGACCCACCTGTCTATCATATAACTAGTACTGGGCAGTACGTGAAGATAAAATAATCACAGATTTCAAACATAAATAAAGTCCAAACAGATCCAAAAATATTTACGCCATTCCGATATAAATATAGCCCCTAGGGAAAATACTTCAGGGGCCATATGAACATAACCGGATTTTTTATCGAAAAAAAAAATTAAAGTACCCGTTATGTTTGTGATAGAACACTTAAAAATTAGATTTAGTTTTTTCATTTATATGTACAGCTTATTTGTATAAATCATTTCTTAATTGACAGTTAGTGATTTTTGGTGCATGCTCTGTCTTAATGATGTTGAATGTGTTATTTAGGAAAATGATCATTAATAAAAGTACTAATAACAAAGACTGAAATTTTCCTATATTTCATTTTGAAACCAATCCTTACTTTAACACAAGAGTAAAAAAATAAGAATATGGTATTGTGAGAAATGGTAATGCCAATTTTTATAAAATAATATATTCTTATTTATACGTGCTAAATTTCGAAATTCTCACCTATACACTCCCCATGCTTCCTTTGAAAGCACAGCACCTGTCCGTCCGTCGCTATCTGACATTCAAAAGCCTTGACGAAATTGTTGCCTCTTATCCAGCTGATTTCTTCAAGAAGGGCATCATGAAGGCAACCAATATGTTGGCAAAAATTCATTGGCAAGGGTGATAACTTTGATTTAATAGAAATAAAAAATATAGAAAAAAATACTCTATAGCTATCGTTTGACGTACGGGCGGACATAACAGCGCAAAAATATCGAGCTGAATTCTGCGCTCCGCTCATTGTTCTTAATTTCAAACCCGAAATCTGCTGATTCGAGTAAATTGAAGTTACGAGCAACCAATAAGTTTTCACGTCACTAATGTTAACATAGAAACCAAAAATCGTTAGGTAATTTGAAAGTAAGATATTCTAAGAAACACGCAACGATATCATATTTATTAATTTTCGATAACTCTATTTACTTTTACCATATCATAAAGAATATTTGAATGAATATCACAGTCACCATCCGAAAATTGCTGACATCTAGTTTGCTTTCGAGAACTTTTCTTAAATACTTCCTCATCAACGTTAAATTCACGATCTCATTCATAAAGAGGTCGCGATATCAATCGTCGTCACATGTCAACTAGTTGTAGCGTGAGTTCGTGGATGTCTTACAAATTTCAAAATGAAAGAAATTGCGTTAGAGTTAAAATTAGGCTCCAGCTCTCAGGCTATTCATTGACTGAAGTAGGTACACAGTTGGGGAATAAATTCGTAGCGTTCTTGTATTTTTTTTTTAATTTATTGCTATTATATTATACGAAAAAGCTCGATGATGCAGTAGATTAGCATTGCGGTCCGCGAACGTTGTTGTTAAGAGACTTTTTCAAGGTGTTTTCTTCGGTTACGGGATTGGTAACCAAAAAATTATTATCTCGAGCTACTCCGTGCTTTTCCTTTTAATCTGTATTGGCCAGCGTGTAGGGTGATGGCCCATCCTCCTTAAACATCCATAATAGGCCTGAGCCCCCGCAGTGGGGACGTTAAGCGGCAATACAAATCCTTGTCAATTATTTTTTTAGGTATTTAATTTTGTGTTGTGGTTAAAATCGTCTGTTCAGTTCTCCTATATCGCACAATTGTGCTCAAGTTCCTCACGGTGATCTGTTCAATTCAGTTCTTTTGCATATTTATAGCTTCTTTACTTAATTTTAGATTATATTTTGATACCTTCTACTCATAAGCATCAACGATTAATGCTAAACGGATATACATACTCAAAGAATAACAGAGGTTTCTGGTTCTGTTCTCAAAGGAACAAATTGTGCAAGGCCAGAGTGAAGTTGAACCAACAAGGGCAGATTGTAAGGTTGTTTGACGATCATAATCACGCCCCGCCTACGTATCACGTAACTGCTACTGGTCAGTACGTAAGGATCAAATAATTACAAATTTCAAACTAAATAAAGTGTAAAATAGCTCAAAAAATTGTCATTTTCATGTCACCTTGTAGACAGCTTGCCAGTGTAATTAGTGATTTTTTTTTTATTAAAAAAAATCAATCCAAAGCCCTTTCTCTTCTCCATTTTCACCTTGATGTCATATATTTTCATTTATATCAAATCCAAATAGATCCTTAAATACTGGACTCTGTTTATCAACCTGAGGTCCTTTAGATTTATATATTTAAATTTTCTAATCCTCATTTCTATTTCTATTCATTTTCTTAATCCTGTTTAGATTGGTATTAATTTGTGACAGGAAGCTTTCAAAATAGAATTAAAAATGTAATTGAATAAATGGAGATTTAATAACGTCTGTAAAAGTAGATATTATTGAAACTATTGACTGAATATAATTATGATAACGTTAACAGGTAGTATTATGTTTATGTTGTGTAAATATATGTTATAAATATTATTTCATGATTTTATTTCTGGTAATGCCATTGACAACATATCTGCTTTATTATGAATATTATTTTGTATGCCTTTTTTTGAGTCCTGATAAATTTTAAAGATGTTCAGGCATGATAATTATAGGAATAGCTAGGAGACTACAGCTGAATAACGTTCACCTTGCCAGGAACAGTCAGAACCTTTTGGCCAGCTTCTTAGAATAGCCATTGCCCGAGGCTTGCCGCGAGAAAGTACTGTCCACACACCACCACGATATCAAAGATACCTGTTAACATGACGTAGCATGTTAGTTGTACTTCTAGAATTACTTGGACATGTTATTCTAAAATTACTGGTACATGTTATTTTATTTGATCAATTTTGCATTCAAAATGCTGTTTGGGTGGATTGCCTGAACATTGATGAAAATACGCTCTGCAATAGCGAAAAGTAACAAGTGCTTGAAAAATTCCTGTTACAACCTGGGTAGCTCAGTGGTTAGAGCAGTCACTTGGATCACGAAATGTCGTGGATTCTATCCCATCTCAAATACCAGGGACAAAGTGGATTTTTTAAGCATTTTTCTTTAAAAATAATACTCGAAAAATATGTATTTGCCCCTGGGGTAAATATTTCAGGGGCAATAGATGGACGTTAATGCGTATTTGTATTTTTTTTTATTTCATTTTAGATTATATTTTGATACCTTCTGGTTATAAGCATCAACTGCTAATGCTGAACGGATATACATACTCTAAGAATAACAGAGGTTACTTGTGGTTTTGTTCTCAAACGAAGAAATCGTGCAAGGCCAGAATAAAGTTGAATCGAGAAGGACAAATTATAAAATTGTTCGACGATCATAACCATGACCCACCTACCTACCATATAACTGCGTCTGGTCAGTACATTAAATTAAGTTAGTACAATTAAACTCTTTTACTTCATCTAAGTTTTCTTAATGATAGCATAATAAGATATTAAAAAACACGTTATGTTTGCGACAGAACATTTAGAAATAAGATAAATTTTTCTTATTTATATTTACAGCTTAATTGAATGTACTGCGGGCGCTCTCTAATACGTTTTGTATTATCAGGGCAGATACTTACCCCTGTAACTCAGACACTCCACAAAAATCCCATCACCTGCTTGCTGTCTGTCCAAGATTTAATGCACTTGACTGACTATTTACAGCTATGTAGGATGTATGACGTTAACCCATATCTGAACAAGGACCTTATGACCAAGAAAAACTTATCCACTCGTGGTTCAAGCAAATTATTAAGATCTCCTCCAAATTTAAGGTCTATTAATTTACAGCCAGTAATTGAAGGCCTTTACAGCTTAACTACAACCAGTTTATTGTAATCACTATATTATGTACGCTTGATGAAGTGAGTTTTTCATTAATATTATGTATCCTTAATTATTAACTCCTATTAGGATATCATTTTTTTTTGAATAGCTTGTTATCAATCCGAGATTATAACTGGTTTTGCCAAAATATTCGGGGACTTTTTTTTAATATTTTCTTTTTTATCTTTCGTTATTTCCAGTTGTATAGATTAGGGTTAATTTTAGAAGAGAGCTATTGTCAAATGGGAAATGCTAATATGACGTGAGATTTGTATATTTTTGTTTATTATATCAGTTGTTTGTTTTGTTTGCAATTTTTTATAATCTCCTCAGAACAAAGTGTTAAGAAGATAAATAGTATGTTTTTTTAATAAAAGCGTTAATATGAAATTGAAAATGATGTATTTTTATTTTAGAAAGATAGTTGCAGCATATTATGAAGTAATTGTTTAAAAATTCAAACATCTCAATTAGCCGAGCTGGGATTCGGAATTTTCGTTATCGAGCGACTGCATAATCACTAGACGGGCAATCGGACATGCCTGCGGGTAAGTCTACAGACATGCTTGCCAGACTTCGCTGGACCGTCACAATCATTAAACAGAGTTATAGTAACGAGGTCTGGCTGGCATGTCTGCAGACTTACCCGCGGGCATGTTTATCTAGTGAGGTCCTCACTTTAGGAGTACATCACGTTTCCACACTAAATGGTTATTTTGAGTCTAATAAAATATTAAATTTTCAGGATATCGTTTTATAGAGAAGGCTGGACCTGGTCCCAATAATATATTACTGCTTCTTGATGAATATACGTTTGCTAAAAACAATACAACTAGTAAAGTGTGGGCTTGCTCTCAGAGAAGAAGAGGGTGCAAAGCGAAGGTTATATTGGATCATAATGATGCTATAATAAAAGTAAACACTAGACACACGCATAGTCCACCACAATTTTTTGTAACTGGTACAGGAAAATACGTTCAGATAAACTTTCGTAGTACTAATAAAGAGTTATCGTGAGTATAGTTTCGTTTTAGAAGTCCCTACAGATTACCAGTGGCGTTGCTAACATGGGAATCGGCAGAATCAGGCCAGAAATTGTGACGTCACATAGTAAAGATGCTTACTACTAAGACAAAAAAAAATTGTCGTCAATATCGTCGTCGTCGGTCGTTTATTTTTAATTTGTTGGTATTTTTATATAGAATAGTTTTAGAGTTTTAACTTGGTATAGGTATATTAATATTTATATTATGTAAGTGATATTTTTAATTTAATGACACATTTGTTAGCAGTTTCAATATTATTTTGTTTGTAAAAGGTAGGTCATCGTTAAAAATAAATAAATGACTTATGTATTTATACTTTGAACTTTGATATTCCTAAAAGTATTAAATTCCCAAATGAAGTAACTTTGAAGCACTAAACGGGACCTTATAACTAAGTTTCCGGTGTGTGTTTGTCTTGTCTGTCTGTCACCAAACTGTACCTCATGAATCGTGATAGCTAGACACTTGAAATTTTCACATTGGATGTATATCTGTTGTCACTATAACAATAAAAAAAAACAGAATTAAAAAAATAGAAAAGGGGCTCTCAAACAACAATGTGATTTTTTGCGTGATTTAATACATTCTAATTATCTATGTGGGTAACAATATCCAAAATGCTGTATATTTGTCCGCAGATATGGAATACAAAATTATAACAGCACCTGGACAGAAACAAGTCATGCTATTTCGTGGGTACACCTTCTCCTTCAAAGGGATGCCCAGGATATACGCGTACTGTTCCAAATATTATACTCTCGGATGCAAAGCGCGGTTCCGATTGGACAAGGATGGGAAAATCGTGTATGCCGACACAATCCATAATCACAATCCTCCTGTTTACAGAAGAACGCCAGTCGGAAAACTAGTTAAAGTCATGAGTTAAACTTATGGCACTCTTAAGACATATCTTAAATAAGAAATGCTCCTTAGAATTTTTCTTGGATAAGTCTGGACAATTACCATGTCTGGACAACTTAAGTGTCTTTTGTAATATTACATATGTTAATTTTGTTAAGAAGTGATATATGGTACTGTCCCGTTGATAATAGATCTACTAAAGTACTATGTTAATAATAAATTTGAATTAACCAATATGTAAAAATCTTAGTTATATTTATGTTATGGTTATGGTGAGATTATTCTATGCATAAAATGTAATATTACATTTTCTTTAACAGAAAGCAAAAAAAGCAAAAAAAAAATCACTTGCTAATATTTAATTTGACGTCCGACAATTGACTTAATCAGTAAGTAGAGGCAGATCGGTGTTGTTCTTTATCCTATATTACATCGATTTCTTTGACATCGGATTGAATCAAAATGTACTCTACATTCAATATGATAGTATCAAATTTTACGTATTAAAATTGTCATTAGTTTAGAGCGAAATTATCGATAAAAACCTTAAGATTTAGAGTATTAATTAAAGCTTAAAGTAGTCATTAAAGCGTAATGGACGTTCTGCAACTGACATATATTCATTCCTTCGATTGCGTCACTAAAAATGCACTCAAGGTTCAATACAGGATTGAACTAAGTGAAGGAAAATCTAATACTTTTTGCCATATGAAACGTAAAAAAACTTAATTTATTAAGAATAATCAGTTGAGATTTTGTACTTTCTCAATTCAGAAACCGGCCGTTAGATTTGATCCAATGTTATTGAAATGTATGTACATGGTAGACGTGCTGAATAGAATTTCCGTTGACACTAGGTGAAACTAGATGAACTACTTACTTTTGTATAGGAAAAAGTTGTAAATCTGAATAGAGAAATTACTAATATTACAATTATACATTTTAAATTATTAAATATTTGAATCGCTGTGATTGTTTTATTTATGTTAAAAAAATTATTGAATAATTTTCATAGACTAGGTACCCTTTCATGAGAGTTACGGAAATATCAAGTTTTTGCTCTGGGTTCTGGGGTTGTGGGTTGAAGACCAATTTTCTATATGTAATTTTTTCATCGTGCTCTATTCTACCCTGTGATTTTCAGTACGAGACCTGATTTAATCTTTTTAATTTTTTACCTCAAATTTTTTCTTCCTGCTGGTGCAGTTTACGCAATGCGACGTCTAATTTACGCCTGTTTCGAGTGTTTTATTATCTCATTTCGTTTATTTATTTCTTTTTATTTCAAAACTCTTGTTTATAGTCTGTATTCCTATGAAATGAATAATGTTTTCGGTTTCAGAGTTGATTTTTATACCTTCACGTCATAAAAAGTTACTCATGTTAGACGGTTATACGTTCGCCCAGAGGACACCTAAGCTTTGGTATTGCTCTCAAATAGCCCAAGGTTGTAGAGCAAGAATCAAATTGAATAATGAAAATAAGATAGTAGATGGAATTAACGTGCATAATCATTCCCCGCCAAAATATTTCAAAACTAATACTGGAGAATATATAAAGGCCTAATAAAGTAAGAATATTAGACAATCTGGCAAGGCAAAGACGATGGCGGATTAATCTAATTTTGATCAATTACTAAACTAGACTAGACTAAACTAATGAGTGTTAATAGCGACTAACGATCAACTGTATCAGTTAGTACAGGAATACTGTTCAGTTTGCTCTTAACTTTTGCTTAACATTGAGTGAAATATTTATTTTTATCTATACTCATTTTATAAATCTGAAGAGTTTGTTTGTTTGGTTGAACGCGCTAATCTCTGGAAGAACTGTACGCATTGAAAAAATATTTTGTTTCGAATAGTCCATTTATTGACAAAGGATATATAACATCATGCCAAGCCTAAGAGAGGAGCAGTAATGTTACTAAAACGGGAAACTATCGCGGGCAAAGGCGCTGCTAGCTATAAATGGAAAATTAAACTACAATGAATTTTTAGTTATAAGTCAATCTATATTAATTAAACCTTTGAATCTCTGTGGTTGTTTTATTTATGTTACAACCTTTTTGTTTAAATATCATTGGCAGGGTATCCTGTAGCAAAAGATATTAGAGTTACAAATATACAAGTCTCTATCAAGATTGCTATAAGATGATATTTTTTACGCCAAATTCTTTAAGAGTGTACACAACAAGTGCACAGCATGATATTCTCGCTGTTTTTATGACTTCTATCTTCACCACCGTTTGCTTATCTTTACAATACGTTGATTTTATCGCATTTTGTGTAATTTTATGGTTTTCTTCACTACAGTTCATTAAATTACTCTATTTTTGTATCGACAAAATACTACAGAGGTATTTCTAGCTACTTTTTGTTAATAAAATAAATAAATACTAAAGTAATGGTTTTTCTATGATTTTTTTTAGATTACATATACATTCCCACGGGTTTGAAGAGGAATTTGATCATGCTGGGAGGTTATACGTTCGCTCAAATTGGCAACTACCATTGGTATTGTTCTCAAAAAAAGCTTGGCTGTAAAGCTAAACTTAGATTAGATCCCGATGAGAAAATTACATTCGCTGACAATAGACATTGCCATAAACCTCCCGTTTACCGTATGACTAGTTCCGGGGAGTATGTTTTAATACGCACACGCAAGAATACTGCACATGATAATACATAGGAATGTTTTTTACACTAAAACTGTGCACAAAATGAAACGGTATGTGGAGCATAACTTTAACTAACATTTTACAACTATATTTACATTAACATAGGTTGATATACGTAACATACGTGATAATTTATTTGTAATGCGCAATCGTAAAGGGTTAGTACACTTATATTATTGAATAACTGGATATAAACACCAAAATACCCAACCACGATTGCGACGCGATTTGGTGTTGTTGAAATAAGAAAGAAATACTGATTGATGCTGATTGAAGGTCAAGAACAAATGCGCACCTCAACATAAAAGATCTGAGAAACTATTTGTTCAGAAAATTTTGAAAATCTGTGAACCAAAGAGCGTAGTATCAAAAATACTACTATATTGTGATAAAAGTATTAAAATATGAATATTAAAAATTAATTTGCAATATTAAATCACGCGTTATGATTAGCGATGAAAGGGTTAATTATATAAATATGAATTCAAATGTAAAAAATTTAATTAAAAAAAGAATCGTAATTCATATTTTCAAGTAGATTAATTTTGAAACACAATTTTTTTGTAAAATGAAGTATACAAATATTGGAAGTACAAATACAGTACAAGTACAAATATTGAGTATAATACAGTAAGTACAAGTACAAATATTAATTTTTTGTTAATTGCTCGGAACTTCGACTGTATCTTATAAAAATTAAAATGGTGGTCTAACAACGTAACATTTAATCTGTAATGTATATTGTTCTAGACTTCGAATGCGAGGAAAATGTTAATATGACTACAGAAGAGTCATTTGTTATAATACCATCAAAGCGAGGTGGAGAACTTTTACTACATAATGGTTACAGATACACACTCAAGAGATATAATAGAAATGGGGACAAAGTTTGGCGTTGCGCTAAACGAAACTGTAATGTCACAATAATATCAGTGCGGGAAACGTTTGTAGTAAAACTAACTCCACATGTATGTGAAGCAGATGAAATGGAAAATAAAATAAAAATATGTTTCCAAAGATTTATAGTTAAATGTGATTTCGAACAGAAATCTGTAAAATCTATTTATAGTGAATTCGTTGAGGAATTGCTGAATAGCGACATTATGTTAGAAGATAGAACAAAAATTCCTAAATTCGAAAGTGTGAAGTCGGTTTTATATAAATACAAAAATAAGGCTTTGAAACCTTGTGGAAGTGGGGACAATTAAAGTCTTCACTGATGGGCATATAACAAATGATGCCGTATCCATTACGTGAACCTAGCCAGATTAAATAACTCGAAGCGCCTTCCAAAGCTAGAAATAATAAAATTTTGGCATTATTAAGGTGACTTAACCTACGTAGTCGCAGACTGCTCGCCTGAATCACTGCGCCATCGAGAATGATGAAATGTTGTTAAATTTTTTAGATGAGGATTTATTAATAAATGCAATGTCTTCATCAACTATAACAATAAAACATGATAACATGAAAAGATGATAGTTTTATTTTACACATTATCAGTTCGATTGTAATAGAAAACGTACAATATTGTGAATTGTTTACATAACACCTTTTCTTATATATAATATATTTTCTTTTATAGACATCAGATATAAGGTAATGGGTGGTGTGATCAGGGATAAATCAATTTTTATTATACCATCACAGAGAGGTGGTAAAATTTTATTACGAAACGGCTTCAAGTACACAATGAAGAAAACCAATAAAAATGGGAACACAATTTGGCGCTGTGTGAAACAAAATAAAGGACTATGTAACGGCAGTTTGATAGTACGAGGTAATTCGGTAATAGTCAAAGAAAAGCCACATATCTGTGAACCAGATGAAATAAGAAATCAGCAGCATATAAAAATATATTTTGGAAGAAAACATAACTTAAATGTTTGGTAGATTGATGCAATCAAATAATTCTGATGGAAGAAGTCGAGAACGTCGGTATAGAAATATGGAGAAGGTTGTGCAGATACAAGAAAAACTTAGTAAGCAACAGTGATAAAGGACTAAAAATAAAGGATATAGAGGTATATGTTAATAAAGAGTATTAAGTTGTAGTACGTTTAGAATGTAGTATTTGGTAGAAATAAAGAATTAAGTTAAATGTGATGTATATCTGAAATAAATTTTATTATTATCACTAGTTTCCCAAAAGTCAAACAAAACATTCATCCGTCCGCGAAATTTTCGTTACTTACAATATGTCCAAAAAGGTACAAAGTTTTTGCTTCACGTGGTTCTACATATTTTACATTTTCGGATCACTATGCTGTTGATTATTACGTGACTTCTGAAGATGAAATGCATAGTAAACTAGGTAGACCGACTTTTATATTTGGCCTATTTTTCTTTTTCTCTTGATAAATTACGCGTTTTTGTACTCCTTTGAGCCATAACAAATCGAATTTAAAATATGAAAGTGATAAATCATGTTGTATTTGGTTACGAAGTTTCTGATGTTCACAGGTGTCTTGGAGTTTATACCCAGTAACCGCGGCAACGGGCAAGTTCTGGTCTACAATGGTTATACCTATAATAATATGGGAAACAGGAACCGTTGGTACTGCTCCAAAAACAAGAGTGGTTGCAAAGCGAAAGTAATTTTAATACATGGCATGGTGACACATAGTTCAGATCACAATCACGATCCACCGAAGCTGTTTAGGACACCAGATGGAAAGATAGTCAAACTTTGAGATTTTTAAATAAATGAATTTTAATTAAGTGATGCAGAAAAATATTGTTTAGTAAATAAAATCGACACATAATTAAGAAACTTTTTGGGAGCGGGAGTTTTGGGTAGTTTAACATTTATATTGATATTTTTTTTTTTAATAGATAGTTAAAAATACAATGAAAGAATATTATGTGTTGATTGTTTGGTTGTTCACAGGCGTCATAGAGTTTATGCCCAGCAAAGGAGGTAAAGGGAAAGTGCTGCTTTTCAATGGTTTCACTTATAACAATATGGGTAACAAAAATCGTTGGTACTGCAACAGGATAAAGCGCGGTTGTAAAGCAAGAGTCCAATTAATGAATGACGTGGTAACATACAGTACTGATCACAATCATGATCCACCTGTACTTTTTAGAACACCAGATGGAAAAATTCGATATAGAAGACCTAAGAACACAACACAACTAATGAATTATGCAATTATGAATCAAATGTACGCAAAACATAATAAAACTGTATAGATATGGTTGTATGTCATAGATACATTTTATTTCTACTTTCCATCATTATTCCTCTAGCACGATAGAGACGGAGATTGACATTTATTCTTATATTTGAGTCTTAATGATGTTCTTATTCTAAAGTACACATAATTTTCAGGCATAATTTTCTTTGAGATAATTTTAATTCCCATAATGTTTGTAGACAAAAACACTGATTAATGGGTTAGACAATAGAAGTTTTTAAATTTATGTTTTTTGATGCTTAAACATTAACATGTTTAATAAGTATGCGTTATTTTAATGAGGATAAACAAAGTGTGCCATGCAAAATGATGTCCCAAAGTTTCATTTCAATAGTTATTGAATAAATCATCGAGTAATAAAACATCATGCTGAAGCATTTCGATCAGTAGTGATCAACGTTATGTAAATCCAACTAAAAATATCGATTTCAACCCACATGAAGTTTTGTTTGTTTTACAGGCGTCTTGGAGTTTCTGCCCAGTAACCGTGGCAATGGGCAAATTCTGCTTTACAACGGTTACACCTATGGGAATATGGGAAACAAGAATCGTTGGTATTGCTCGAAGAAATCGCGAGGATGTAAAGCAAGAGTACACATAGTAAATGGCATGGTGACATATACTTCGGTTCACAATCACGATCCACCACAGCTTTTTAGAACAACAGATGGAAAAATTATAAGGATATAGAATTTGATTTAGCAGAATATTCGATAAAGATGCAATGGGAAATATTGCTAATTCGTTTCGATTTAGAAATATATGATTGTATAAAGATAACATAATAGAATATCCGACGATTTGTGGCTGACAGTTTTTCTTTTTCTAATTCCCATTCTTTCTTACTTCTAACAAGTTAGAGACAGAGACCTACTTAGATTTTGTTTATCGATTCTTTTTCATTATAAGCGCTGGTGTCGTGTTAGTCGGATAGTTACGCACGTTCTTAAATATAGCCTAGAGAAGCGATCACTCATACGTCATGGCGCTCGCCAGTGGAGATGAGCTTGCTCTAGACTACTTAATGTCCATTTTTTATTAATATATTTACAATGAAAATAAATTAATCAATGAGCAGGTATGTATGGCACGGTCATATAAATGAAATTACCTGATTTGTTACTTCTAAAATTCTAATGGCAAGTGACTTCAAGTCTAATGTAGACATTTTCAATTGAAATATTTTGTATGAAATAAAATAGGGAGGAAAAAGAAGCCTTTTTGAGTTTCTTGCTTGTGATATCCAGCATACGGAATCCTGCAGCAGATCTACGAACCGATGTTGAAAGTCGAAAGTTATGTGCTTTTGACTTCCACATATATTTGTAATAACCCAAACTGAATATAATTAATTTTGAATTTTTCTTTCTAGAAACGGAAGATGTGCCAGAATTTCTTAAATACTACAGAAAGTATCGTAAATTAAATCCTGAAAGGTTTGTTGTCAATAGACCTGATAAAACTAACGACGAAACAGGGAATCCTGCTGATCGTGTCAGTAATATCCTCAGTTCTATCTTCGATGCTAGTAGAAAGTAGGATTGAAACTCCTTTGAAGAAGAGCGCAGTTGTGCGACTTATTCAAACTGCCTGTGTTATAAACAGTTGTTGCTATAACGCACTGTATAATTCTACTCTGTTCCATACCGCTCATTTGATTGAAACATATAAATGAAAGCTTTAAAAAGATACAACTAATCAAAATGTCGCTTAGTATTTGAGTCATAGTTTGCCTTTTTATGATTCACAAAATTGAAAATACGTATTCAGCAAACAGATATAAACGTTAGAATTTCTGTAATAACTACGTCCGAAATGTAATTATTAATATCAATGATTGAACGATAAAAAAACATATGGAAATAATTTACATGTTTTTTTTACTATCCTCGTATATAAAATATTGAATGAGTCTAAAATCATCTATTTGTATTATGGGTCTTCTCAGATCATAGCAAACTATCTGAATGTAGAAGTGTCAAAATCTAGCTGCTAATTTGCTATCTATAGATTTTGAATTATTAAGTGTTGCTGTTGCTTTTTCTAACCTACCGTTATTTGTAAAATGTGTGCTTTCAGAATTAGATACATTGCAAATCCTGCCATCGTCTGACAACAAGGCACCATTGGTTGTGTATAAAAAATACACGTTCTCTTACAGACATGGGAAACGTTATCTTGTCTGTTCAAATCAAAGAAGTAAAAACTGCTCCGCCAGATTGAAGATGGATTCCACTGGGCTTGTTGTGATTGAAGCTAATGACAAACACTCTCATCCTCCGCCACAGTTGTATAAAACAGTCGATGGTTCTTACGTCAAATTGAGATAAACAGTGCATTTGTTACTTTTTTTCCAAACTAAGGTTACGTCAGGCTTTTCAGAATGTTTATACTACTACTCTATGATTGTCAGCCGCTAGTAAGCTTTCTTTTTTCTTTAATGTTTTTTTATGTCTCGACATCAGTGGCTTCGATAAGTCTAGGTCTAAAACAGTCTCAAAATTCAATACTTTTTAACGACTTTGTGATGCACTACATTTTTTTATCTTGAATTATTAATTTTTCGCATTTAAGGTTATTTTTTTTAACAACTCGTTAATTCGTATGACTGTTCACGTGTGATGTTTTCAAGCGCGGAATTTCGGAATTTCTATTAATAGAAAGAAATATTTGGGATAGTAAAAAAACAACGCTCGGTGGCGTAGTGGATAAGCGCCGCGCCCCGCGATCGTTGTTGTTAAGCAACTTTCGCAAGGTGGGTCGGTTACGGGTTCGATGCCCAAAAAAAAATTATCTCAAGCTAGTCCGTGTTTCGGGAAGGAACCGTTGAGCCGTTGGTGCCGGCTACATTTGCAGTCGTTAATACTCTCTAATCCACTTCAGTCCGGCGTGGAGGGTCATGGCCCATCCTGCTTAACCATCCACAAGGATGCCTGAGCCCCTGCAATGGAATCTAAAACGGCTAATGATGATGATGAATAAAAAAAACAAATCTAGTATAAATATTCCACAAATACCTTATTTGAATGAATTATGATTTATTTAATATCTCATTCAAAAATTTAATTTCTGGCAATACTGGTATGTACTGCGGTTACTGAAGAAACCTTAATTGTTATTTGATAAATATTTTGAGAAATAAACTTTTATGGGCGATCTTTGCAGTTTTTATTAGTATGAGCTTATTAACATATCAATTATTTTAGACAAAAACGTTTGAAACAAATATAAAAAATAAGACTTTGACAATACAAAGTGCAAAACGTCATGATACTCTAGAAGATTTATTACTCTCCTTTTTTATTCATATCTACTTTTAATCAGGGTTTTATCCTTTTGCATTTTGTATGCTAAATGCTGGTTGATCTAGCATTCCAGTCAGGTGTGCATGTTAAAATATAGCAAACTCTGTTCCTTTTAGACGTATTACGTATTATGTTTTATTGTTACAGACTTCGGTAAATTGGATTTGTTGCCTAGAATAGACGGTGCTCCATATGTGACGTACAAAAATTACTCATTCTCCTATATAAGTAAAACAAAACGTCTACTCATGTGCTCCAGCAGACTCAGCAAGAAGTGTAAGGCGAAGGTAAAGGTGGATTCCACTGGACTTAATGTTACATACGCGTATAATAAACACAGTCACCCCCCGCCCACGTTTCATAAATCTACAGCTGGATTTTACATAAAACTAATGTGAGTTACAAGTAACCATTACATTACCACATTACCACAGTAGAAGCAGAGTGAGAGGCTATGTGAACTCTGATCAGTGATTACCAGTGGTCGGAATTAGGTAGAGTTATTCATGTACTTACACTGATTTCATACAGCGAAAGAATAAAGTGGATATGCCTCAAATCCCGAGATTAATTTTTAAGAGCAGAATAAATCCCGTGATTTTTTAAATAAAAAGTTATTTACATTTACACAAATTAAACTACTGCACGCACGACGTTGCCAAACTTACATCAATGACATCGGATGTCCAAAGATGTCCAAGAATGTCCATTAGAAATCCCGGGAAGGTCCACATTAATATCAACATTTCGATGCAAGTACATAAATAACTCTACCTAATTCCGACCTCTGGTGATTACACATTACAATAAGTTATTTTTGTGAAGAGTCATGGCATAGTATTGTAATAGTTATCTTTAACTAGTACAGGTACACAGTGCTGGGAAAACTATTGTACGGGTTTTAAGCATTACAAAGTTTTTTTTAATCGTGTGTGTTTGTGTCGGGTTTGACTTTCTTGAATATTTTTTTACACGGCACAACACTCAAGAGATTGATTTGTCGCTAGACTTTACTGTCTGTTTTGCTAGTTGTGCATCGTATTGAATCAAAATATTAAATTAAATTTACTTAACGTACAATACAGTATTGAACGTTGAGTGCATTTCATTCAGCCCAAATATACAGGCTCTGCCAAAATATCAGCGTTGATGTGGCACTTTCCGTGTCGCATCAACACTAGCTGAGGCAGAGTCCTGGTTAATCTCATTTTCTTTCTTTTTGTATGTCATTATGTACTTTATTGTATTTTTTCTGTTTCCGTTGTATCTTTATCGTACTTTATGTGTCTCTAATAATGTTCTATCTTGTTTGTGCTTTTGTGAGATCAATAAATCTTTCTTCTTATGTTGTAACTAAATATTTATCGTTGGGCGTATATTGGTTCGACTCGATGTTCTTAAATTTGAAGGCGATATTTGATGGTCTGAAGTATTTATTTCAATTTAGTTTAAATACGTTTTTGTATAAATCAAAAAGAATTCGACTACACCAATTTAGATAAATCAATGTAACTTTATTGTTGGTCATCCTTAGGAACTAAACGCTTTAGTTGCGTTCACAGCTTTTTATCATGTATTGTATTTTTAAACTAGCAAATATGTATTTTCTATACTATTAATAAACAGAGGAAAGATTTGAATTTTATTTGTATTGAATAGACACCGAAATCAATAATTGTTTCATCTACGGATGTGAGTTACATCATACGTCACTGACACGCAAGGCAATAGATAGATAAATTAACTTATTTGCATCACAAAATAAGCACACATGTGTAATTATAAAGTCAATGACAATAATATAAGAAAAACGTATTAATGAATTACTAGTGACTAGCCTTACGTGTCCACAATACCCATGCGTTCATTTATTATTTATTAATGAGATTATTATATTTAAGTATTTACAATTATTGATGTGTCCATTTTCTTTACAGAATTAGATAGAGTGATATTTTTGCCGACAAATAAAGGAAAACAACTAATGATGTACAAGAAATATACGTTCTCATACAGGAACGGGAAACGGCAACTCGTGTGCTCGAGTGAATTGAGCAAGAAGTGTAAAGCGAAACTGACCATGGATAAGACGGGTCTTGTTGTTCTACGTGCTAATGTTGAGCACAATCACCCTCCACCCGTGTACCATAAAACATTAGATGGTACATATATAAAAATTAATTAGTAGATTGACGATTGTTTATTTGAACTTATATAAATAAAATATAATTTTTAATTGATCTGAATATGTGTAATTTTTACTACGAATTTTTTTTTTTTTTTATTACTTTCAACAAGATTATTAGTATTATACCGATTATAGGTATTTTCACCGATTTCATTTTTTTTATTTTATCTTTGTAATAACGTAGCCATGACTTACAAAGCCTTCCCTTTGTATAGATAAATCGGACATAGATTTTATAAACTTTCATTGATCTATTTTATAAACGCTGAATATACCTGGCAGGGTTATTTTTCAGCACTCTACTCCAGCACCACACAGATGAAAAGTCATATCGTTTTTTCAAATGTATTTTTTTATATTGGAGATAAAGAAAATGCATTCAGCACTACTACACTAATATGTGGGGCTCTCCCCTTGTACTCAGTGGAAAGAGTTCTGAGCAAGTCAAAGCGGGTTCCCACCCACCAACATCCGGGTATGCCCTCAGTTGAGAGTCTTAACCCATATATATATATATATACACTTGTTACTATTCATTTATGAAGAAGACAATAGACTTCATGTAGATAGTACAATGGCAAAATGCTAGTAGTTGAGTCTCCACTTAGATGCAATTATTACTTAAACATTAGCAGAACAAACTAGAAATTGGTTGAAGCCGTACAATGCGCATGCAACTGTCAAATGCCCGCGCTAGCTCCAGCAGAAAAGGACTCCTCTAAGAATACGGATCCTGCCAAGTCTTATTCCCTTGAGATGACTTTTCTGAATACTTAATAATAATTTATAGGAAAGATAAGTTAAGTTTGAGTTTTCTTTACAGATTTAAATAAATTAATGTTTTTAACAACAACAAATGGAACACAACTGGTGATGTACAAGAACTACACATTCTCATACAGGAACGGGAAACGGCAACTCGTGTGCTCAAGCGAATTAAGCAGGAAGTGTAAAGCGAGACTGAGCATGGATAAGACGGGTCTTATTGTTATACGTGCTTGTGTTGAACACAGCCACTCTCCACCCTTTTACCATAAAACAGTAAAAGGAACTTATATAAAAGTTAAGCGTTAGTAAGCCGGGAGGGTTTCATTAGCGTTAGTTATATATTTGTTTTGTTTATGCTGTGAACGAGACATTCGCTTATGATATTTTTCCATTGTTCTTGTTCAGCATTTTTTATATTTCGCAAATATTTGAATTAAATAATTGAGATTAACCCAGGCTAGTTGTAGCATCTTTTATTAATAAGACTAATTAGAGATTGTGGTTTCTTTAAGTTTAGAATGTCCGATGTTTTCAAAATGTCCAATTCCCAATATGTCCCAATCTCGAAATTTCCATTCTCTTATCGTAATGTGTATGGAACGTTTAATACTATTATATTATACCTATACGAAATAAAGGTTTTGTTTACTGATTAGTTACAACTACAAATGGCACTGTGCATGATTAGACCAGTATTGTTGTTCTACGTGCTCACGCTGAACACAACCATCCTCCATCCTCGTACCATCGTCCATCCATCCATTCACAGTTAATTCTCGACGTACAACACTCACTGTATTCGTTACTAAAGTTAGTTAATATATTTTTGTATACGTTCCGTCTGCTGTAAAATTACAGCAGAATGAAAAAGTGACGACTTTGTAAACTATGGTACGAGTACTGAACGCAAGAAGACTATTACTTCTCATCTAATCACATTACTTACTGGTATTCACCATCCCTATAGATGTTTCTGCTTGTTGATAAATAAAATGAGCGACCCTTAAATGTTATCGTACACACAACACCACCTTATTGCGAGTCAAGTAGTACAGTTTACGATAATCTGTGAAGTCCGATCTACCTTCAACTACCTACTTACCTTTTCTGTCTACATAAACAAACTTTTCTGACTGAAAAAAATGACGGAGATGCTTTGTTAATTGCTCAAAATTAAAAAGCCTAGTAAACTTTAGCGGCGGCTCAGCTGAGTTGAAGAGCAGCAAACTTACGAACAAGCAGATTATTTTTTTTCGAAATTTTCCTCAGGATACAAATTCTTCCAAATTATAAGAAGTTAGCCCAATATCTCGAAGGAGAAAAATCGTCATTTTCTTATACCAGTAGTAGGTTATAACGTCAGCTGGTCATCTATCTGGACCACGTAAAAAAACTCAGAGACTATATTTAATTTAATCCGTTGGTCATTCAGTCCGTCAGACGCAGTTGAACTGATTATAAATGTGAAAATAATTTGTTCATATCAGATCATAAAAGTTCTAATGTTTGTTTGTATAAATGATTAATAAGTAAAATTTGTATAAGCAAAATTGAGTACATTGTTTCTATATACATATATTTTTTTAATTATCAACGTCGGCTTATGCGAAATCCACTGCTGAACTTGTGTAAGAGGCAGAGATAGGAAAAGCGTGATCAGCTAATGATTAAGTTCAATACAATTATAATATCTAGGTACGTTCCACCAAGAAACTGGTCTACCAAGGTTGTTTCGTTCTTGTGTGTTCTAATTATTATCTCTAACGTTGACTTTAATAACAGGGGTTAGATGTTTAATTATAACGTATTAATTACCTGTTACTATCTGGAATTGTCATTTGAAGTAAAAGTCCCTGTCATAATGTCATTGCAAGGGGCAATCGACCTTACTGTTTCGTGACGTTCAAATGAACCAAAACCATAGTTATGGCCGACTGTACATAATGTTTATTCTTGACCAAATATTAGATATTGTAACCAAACTCTTTAATGATCTCTTCATTAATAAATAATAAATCAATGAAAAATACACTATCACTCTGATATTGAATAAATTAAAATAACATTTGCGGTTTGTCTTAATAAGCACCGTTTTGCCATTACATTTTCCTTCACATATTGCAAATTTTTCTTGAGAATTGCTAATTTAAAACCGTGGTTTATAAAATATATTGGTATTTTTTGCAGAAAGTCTTCAAGCAATGAAGAATAAATTTTACGAGAGAGTAACCCGCCTAAAGTCTCTTAAAGGGAAACCATCACAACTGTACACGAAAATCGAATATTTACAGCTGATAAACCTCGTCAGGATTAGCAGAACGAAGACTAAAAACAAAACGCCAATAGATTATCACAGGTGTTGCAACTTTGATATACTCAGAGAGGGCGACACGGATAAGCTAATAGTACCTCTCAAGGATAAGGTGGGACCAGTTAGATACTTCACGTATTTAGAGGAGATGTTCGATATTATACACGACACACACATGTCGACGAAGCATGGTGGTCGTGACAAAATGAGGAAACTTCTACAGCCCCAGTTCAAGAATATCACACGTGAAATTATCATGCAATATTTGAACGTTTGCGTGGTGTGCCGTAAAAAAGGCAATAAGAAGGATACAGATGAGTAGATTGTAAACTAAGAAGTGGATGAGACATAAAACAGCAAAAACGGTTATCATAAAGTATCAAATTTCTCTAATCGAACTAAACGTTAAACGTTTAATAAGTTAAAGTTAATTATAGTAATTGGATGTAAATGCATTTGAGTGTAATGATAGTCTCGTGATACCCTTAACGAAGGTTGATATAATTAATGGCGTTTCTGTAATATTTCTGTTTGACCAAGAACTTATTATGAAATCACAATATCGAGTGACCACTGATTTATAAAAATGCCACTAATATTGAGTCCTAGGTAGATTATACAGAAGCAAAATAAAATTTATCGAAGATTCTATTGAGATGCAACAAGGTAACCTTAATATTACCAGTATTGAAGCCTAGTTCAAAAGATTTTGTGTCCAAAGTGAACCACGAGTTTCCTTAATTGTACTAATTACGCAGGGTTACATATATGAAAATCATGCTCGGAAAACTATTCAGTACATTAGAATGTTATAATAAGTTTTATGTCACTAATAACGTCAAATAGTGACAGGTTAGTTTTATATTGCATTATTTTGAAGGAACATAAAATGAAACATTGAACTTATTCCTCCATTCCATAGTTGAGTTGTTCAGATACACTGTGATTTTTAAAGTTTCACATTCACAACTATTGACAAACCAAAGACCTGAAACTGCGCTACTTGCAAGTACGTTGTTTTTATGTATAAAACTTATAAATAATTCTAACTGCTCATAATTAGGTAAATATCGTACTACAAGGTCTACTTATCTTGTTGAAACTCATTTTCTGTCTTGATCGAGACAATAGACTTTTGTCTACAATTGACATTACATTAAGGTTATAGAATATTCCTCGAGTTTGTCATGCACACATTGACACAATTACACTCTCGACCTGATGGTAGCACTTTTAGTTGAGCAACCTTAGTTTAAAGACTGCTTTGAAATTCAATGACACATCCGAATTAAAATTATTTTGTAAATAAGAAGTTTTTTATAACAGTAATTTTTTTTAAGATTAATGAAAATTTCGTCACGTGTACAAAAGTACAAATTGTTTTTTTTTTTTGATTCGTTTGTATTTTGTTAAAACTGTTATTTAAGTTGCTTACTAAATTATATTCTAAGAAATTTTGCCAATAACCATAATTTATTCTAGAAATAAGATTTTTAATCAAAATACCAACATATTGTTCAATTATTTTTAATATAATATGTATTACGTTTATTTTACAAAAAATGTTTAAGTAAATAAACATTATCTCGGGTTTCGAAGTACCAACTATCATTTTGATTTAAATTATTGCTAAATCTCAGGATGTTGTACATCGTATCATTTATATACCTACTGATTTACATCAATGATTGTTAATCTTTGAATGAGGAGTATAGGAGGCTTGATTCTGTCAACAATTTAGTAGTAATAAAAAAATCAAACAAGTAAGTTGAAAAAAATACATCATAGTCGTAAAATAATCGCAAATTAAATTGTTGTCATCTTTGTGATTCTTTGAACGAGTTCATTATTGAAATTCAAATTTTGCGAAATTCTTGATGTTATGTTTTTTTTACCAAATATTAGCCCCGAAAACATGAAGCAAAAAAAATACGGGCATATAATTTTGGGCAAATTGCGGTTATATATTCTGAGTTGCAAAGTATTCAGGGCAGCCTCGAGGTATTATATTAATTTTATTATTATATTATTTACAAAAGGCACAGGATACAGTAGTGAAGAAACCTTACTATTTGGAGATTTTTAAATAATATGTATCTTTAAAAAAATCTATGCCGAGTTTGTTCTTATTGAGAATATTCCCATAATACTTTTTGTAATAAATTTGATAATTACTTTGTATACATGCAAACTTATAAATTTTGGGATTATATGTATATAGTTTTATTTATGAGAAGCATAATATAATGTGTTAATTATTGTAAAATTTTTCACATCAATAAGAAAATGTTTTTGTTTAAATAAATACGAAATAGCATTTTTGGGTTATCATGTACCTTTATCATGCTTTTAAAAACTGTATTGTCTATCATTTTATCTATTTCGCCTTTGCAGTGGCTTTTATTTTATAATTAATATTTAAAATGGGAATAGGATCTGACACTACGGACTTATTTAAAAAAATCTTTTACCCACGGGAAGCTACATACGTGGGTGACAGGTTATAATTTACGTGGGCATATTGCGGGAAAGCTGCTAGTGTATGAATAATTTTCTTTTAATGTATAAATCGCTATTACTCATTATAAAATATATATCTGACACACTTATAGATTTTAATCATCGTAATTAATTTATTACCTCCTGCACTGTATATTTCCGTGCGGATGAGATCATGGATTACGAGTATAACCCACCAGATCTGAAGCTGATTGGAGGGTTATAGCAACTACATTGATGCTAGAACCTAAGGCTTTCCGAAACACGGAGTAGCTACTACTAATAGATGTAAGAGTAGGTACTACTAGACATTTTTTGGTCATCCTCCAATGATCAGTCTTTGTGATAGTTCGAATCTTAGACTACTGTAGCATCAAGAGCCTGTAGAATATTATTGATACGCTTTAATAACATCATTGGTATATCATTACTGCAAAAAATAAATATGTTATGAAAATTTCCAAATATATTTACTACTTTTGCTAAGGCCTAATATTTCACGCATTCAAATCATTGTATAAACATTTTCTTCTTTTCACAGATGATGGTGATTCATATAGGATTTTGAGTATTGGAAAAGGGCGGACGATAGTGTTATTTCATAACTACACATTCTCGTTTCATCAAAAAGGGAAGAACATATTACAGTGTTCGAAGAAACAAAGCGCTGGTTGTGAAGCGAAATGCAAACTCGATAAGTTTGGCAGAATTTATTTCTTGAATCCACAACATAATCACCCACCGCCACAATTTCGTGTTTCTGAAGATGGAACTTTTGTTAGGATTTAGGAAGGATTTTTTTATTATTTTCAATCCAATCAACGTCATTATTAATTTATTGTATCCCCACTGTTGAAGCACAGGTTTTCTCTATGAATGGAAAGCATAGAATGGGCCGCAACTCACCATGCAAACCCAGTGTGGATTAGTGGGTGCTAACTACTGCAGGTGCAGCTTAGTTTAACGTGCTTTCCAAAGCACGGAGGAGCTCGGATTATAAGCCAAAAGCTGTGTCTGCTCAATGTTATAAATCGAAATTTGTATTATATTAAATAAAGATTTTTTTTTTTCACTTGACTGACCGTAGACATCGTAAGATTTTTGGAAGAAACTAATGTGTTGTACCTGAGTGTTTTGAATTATAAATGAATTGAGTGTTTTGAAAATAAACAAGTTTTGGTCTCTATTATTTCTGTTTTTAACTTTAAATTTTGTAGGATGAATTGACATTTAAATATTGCCATATTTGTAACTTCATCTTTTTGAATTATAAATAAATTTCATTAAATCTTTTTGTGGATGACTAGATTAATAACGGTGCTGGGTTTCATTTACGCTTGTAACGAATTCTAAGAATTGTTATCTTTCTAATAAGCCAACGAACAAAGATACTAGCTGAGCTCAGTATATAGGTCGTCATCCACGTTATTTATGGTATAAACAATATCTTTCCGAAATAAATAATTATATTATTTGTTACTACAACCTCTTAAATACCGTTATTTGTAACGGTTCTGAGTTTTGAATCACTCTTTTTTGTTTAAAATAATAAATTATAATATTTCTAAAATTCTTTCTATTAACCCATTTATCCAAAATTCAATGTCAAATTACCTATATCCATTTTCTAAATTTAGAATGATGTATAATTAATTGCAGCAAGGTGCTACCGGAACCAAAGACGAAAGATGTCTAAAGAGGAAATAGCTGCTAAAAAATCTGCTGTCGCAAAAGCACGGTTAGAGAGAATCAAAAGTGATCCAATGTTGTTGGCTAAACACAAAGAGAAAGAAAGACTGAAATATATTAAGAAGAAAGAGAAAGGACAGAGGAAATTAGTTAAAGACATGACCCTTCGTGAGCTAAGACAAATCCGGAAACAGTGGAAGAAGAACGCATCTGATTATAGAAAAAGACAAAAAATATTGTCATCAGCTTATTAAATGTTCTCAATGCTGAGGACCTCCCCCTTTGGATGGGATCAAATAGGGAGTCGGACCATAACTCATTACGCGGGCCCACTGTGGATTGATGTGTGTTAAACCAGGACCAGCGACTTAAATCTGTTTCCCAAAGCATGGAATATTTAAAATACAAAAAATGATCTTCTATCCCTAATTTGAATAAAGATTGTTATAGTACTATCTTTTTATTTTTGTAGTGCAAACCCCTTGACTATATGCCAAGCTTTTTCCTTTTATTCATCGACCAATCTGTATTCGCTAGTTGAAATTTAACCTGTTAATTTGGATAATCTGTAGTTATACTGTAGCGTCTAGACTCTTGCAAACCAAAAAAATATCATCGTGTTAAGATGTCTGCAATATTATCAGCATTTTAATGGTGAGTGATGCATTCAATTCAAAGTTCATGCTTCTCACTAGTCCAGAAACTTGAAAAGAAAAAATCTAACGCAATGGCATTATAGTTTTACTGGTAAAATATTATTTTACATTATTATCTCTTGCCTTATTTAAATATTTGTATACTTTTGTTATAATGTTATCATATTTCTATGACAAAAAGATTTAAATTAAAGAACATATTTCTTTTAAAGATGGCGATGTCAAGTTTATCAGCTCTTCCCGTGGCGGTCAGATTGCAATGATCAAAGGATTTACCTTCGCAAGAATAAATCAGTCCACTAAAACATGGCGCTGCTCCAGCTCAAGGTCAAAAAACTGCAAAGCAAGAATAGTTTTGGATAATGACAATAAATTGGTTTGGCAAAACCTCGTCCATACCCATGCAGCACCACGATACCACAAATTGAGAGATGGAACATATGTAAAATTATCTTCCTAATCAGGCAAGAATTTTTTAGTGTTTAGAAGCATGTAAGATTCAAAACTTTACAAAATCGAACTAACACCGATAAATATAGAAATTGTACGATTTCTAGAATATTTAATACATACGGGTCAAGTCGATAGTCTCATTTTTTTATTTGTTATGTATAGAAGCCCTTTAGTTTACAGAAGCCTACGAAAGTACGAAAGTGTTTGACCAAATGCCAAGCTCGGTATATGACGTAAGTATTGTACTTAAGACTCGTTCAAACATAGTGACTCAAGTCTTTTAGAATTTCTCTTTTTACCCATAATATTGATTCTACAGATTTTTCTTGAATGAGATATTTTTGCCAAAGGAGATATAATCTGGTAAATATTCAATATTTTTTTGTATTATTAATTTAAAAGAAAATCTGAGAAAAACGTGTGTTAGTCTGTATGTCCGTCATTCACTATTGATATTTTCCGAAACTGCTGTCAACAATGTTTAGAGTGATTTTTACGAAAATAGATGAAACAAAAGTAAATAGACAAGATGATTATGTTGCACAATATTATCTTCGTGTTATACTATATTTCAACTTAAGATTGTGTTAAGATGTCATTATTTATCATATAAAAGCAAAAAGATGAGTGAAGTACTTAATGTTCTTGCTCAAGATGCTCTAGTCCAGATACTTACAGACATTTTCCAATGCAGTAGCGACTAGATTCAGCTACTGTAATTCTAATCAAAATCTTGTGCACAATCATCCAGCACCGCGGTATCATCAATTGAGAAGAAAAGAGAATTTTGGTGGAATTGTTTGATGGTCTCTGTGCCTAAAATTTTAAGACATAGTATCATGACATACTTCACATTTCACTTTTAACTGTCTTTCTTTCTAAAGTCGTGTATTCACATTGTGAGACTGCCTGCGTGGAGGCGGCTCACTTGAGCAGTAGTCGTGAGGTAGCCACGCGAAGCAAACACGTCTCCAAATTGCAAGGCAGCAGCTTCACAATGTAATCAGAGTCAAATCAAATAAGTACGCACACATATTTAATATGTATAGATTGTAATGGTGATGCATTTTACAGGATTATTGAAGGTCCACAAGGCCAGGAAATGTAGACAAGAAAATGTATACATAGCTCTGAACAAGATTCTATCGAAGGAAATAAGCATTCGTCAAGCGTCCATACTATATAGTATACCAAAGAGTACTCTGTTTGATAGACTAAAATCCTTTAAGAAAAAGAACGAAGCTTTTTTGTTGTCTATGACAGAGTAATAGTGAAAAGAATTATGAGAATGGTTTTATGTTTAATTTAAATTATAATTTTATCTTTGTATGGCTGGTATTAGTGTAACGCGGACCATCCGCGGTCTCAGCGCAAGATGTCAGCGCATTCTCATTTCAGTATCGTACTGATCGTTGCGAAGTACAGACATGGCCAAACCTGTGAGACCAAAATTCCTGCAGTGTATTATTTATATTTATGCAAAAACAGAGAAGCGACAACGAAAAATAAGAACACAGCATTTTCTTCCACCTTTGCTCAAATATTTCTAGAGAGCATTTGTGACGTTGTCACTGTTTGAAACAGATTTTTTTTTTCACTCAACGGCGGCGACGCGTAAAGCCGCGCACGGCTCAGCGCCGGCTCTCGTCAGCTCGTCAGAGCGGTCAGCGTAACTATAGAACGCTCCTAAAGCGCCCATACGTATTGGCCTGTCAGCGTCGACGGTCAGCGTGATACTAAAACCAGCCCGTATAATTTACATTAGGTTATTTATATTATGAACTATAGATACCTTTTTAGGACACTGTGGCATCGTAGCCTGTAAACTAATAATACTTCACGTTGAAATTTATGTACAACTGTTAATTTACTTGATTGCTATTTGCCAACGTAGTTTATGTAGCCACTTACCAATAAGACAACTCCTATCAAACCGCAGTCTTATTAATCTTTTTCTCTGTTACGTTTCTGTACTGCTTTTCTTTGCTTCCAAACAGCGTGCATGTGAAAGTACTTAGAGAATTTTGTTACTTTGACTACAACTGTATATTCTTTACTTTGGTTTCGATTGAAGCCATGTTTGCAGGTTCCGTCACCATGTTCTAATGAGGTATATAGTAACTATATTTCGATTGTTAATAAACAATTCTATATCTTAAGTTTTTATGCCATGTCTTTGTTAAGTTTGAAAATAAGCTGCCATTTAATGATTGTATGTATTTTTTAATTTCATTAATTCTGTTTATTCTACGGCAAAATATTAAGATTGGATATGTATCTAATTGTTGTTAATTAAAAAATTAAAAAGTTTGTAAGCTACATTGAAGGCAATATAAAATAAACAAAACGAAATCATTTTTCCGATTTAAATATATCATTAAAAGTTTTTTTAATTCAGATAATGTTTGATGAAGTAAGCTGGAGCTAGTTTTACATTATAGTTTTAACTAGAATCTTTCGAGATTTATTTGGCAAATGTTCTTCAACATTTATCTACTTTGCTATTCTGTACAAATACAAAGTCGAACACAACGTTGTCACGGCATAAGATGGTCAATCAATAAGATCTTTATTTTTTTTGAAATAATTATGATTTGATTGAACCTCTAATGCTGCGACAGCATTGTGCTCTTTGCTGCGTTCGCCTCCTGCACGCGTAGTATGACGAACTCGAGAAAGTCGAGAAACACTTCAAAGACTCGACAAACGGCTTGAGAATTAAATATACCCATACAATATCTCACTCTCGATTTCGGTCTCGCCCGATCGTCGAGTCTCTCGGGCGGGCTGCTGTCGTTTTCATGGCGGTTTGGTATTCATAATCTACATTTTTATTTCTTTAGATACACTTGTATCTTCTCCATAGTTACATACATGCTTAGTGTAATATACTATCTAAGAAATAATAATTATAATTTTTTTTAAATGTTGAAAAGTTCTAATCAATTATTATGTGTTAAATCATGTTATTCGAAACCATTAACGTTATGTATTATTTAAGTAAATTTTATAAAAAAGGACAATTTATTTATTTTGTATATTTATACCGTTATTGCGTATATAATGAATGGCATAAATACTCAAAGATGAAGAAGTTTCTCGATCCTTTCCCTTCTTATTATTGATAATTTAACAGATGGCCTTTCACCAAACCTTTTATTTAAAATATTATACAATTGTTTTGTAATTCTACATTTGTATTATAATACGTCCACACTTCCTCCCTTTTTAAGTCCTCTGTTTAACTGTGTAAGTAAATATAACAACTCAGAATACGCTTTTTTGACGCACAGCTCTTGACCTGCTATCAATTCGAGTCTGTTATCTGCAAAATAATGATTTCTTGATTACATAATGAAAAAAGAAATGTTTTCGAATTAAGTTAAAACACTCGAGTTAAGAAATATTTACAAGAGCGCGTTTTCATGAAAATAAAATTACATGGAATTTGTTATATGATAGAAATTCTTAATTGGATAGAAAATTAATACGCTTTATATATTGACTGATGTCTTTTGGAATGCTATAACCTGGTATCGTTTAATTTTGGCTTATATTTTATGCGTAGGTATGAGGTTATTTTTCATTAAAGATTTTCGTAAGCAATGGATAAACTTGGTATCATGTATTATAATTCTCAAAACTTCGTTCCAGGATGTTATATGTCTACTTTTGAATCTAAGAAGCGTCTTTCGTCAGCTGAAAAACAACGACGCTACCGGGCAAAGCGTAAAAATGACCCTGTAAAGGAGGAAGCAGCTAAAAGAAGAAATCTTGAGAGATACCATGCGAATAAATGCTTGGTAAAAGATTTAACAGGACTTGAACATCGTGCAATCAAAGAGATTTGGCGGTCTGCGAGTGCTAGAAAGAGAGATAAAACCAAGACTCAAGATATTTACAAAACGACTTCAGATTCATAATCTTCGGGTTTTATTTATCCATACCATATAGGTTACTAGTTGATACACACTAATCAGCACATGGATCACTTACTGGGTTATCGCCCATTTTTTATATAATAATAATAATTTTAATCATGCGAATATATGATTCTATTCGAATGCCTGTGTCCCAGCAATGAAGTTATTATGTGACATATAACGTCTTCTTGTAGAACTAGGACTAAGTATTTTAAACATTGGCCACCTAAAGCAAATTGATAATGACATAAGAAAAATCATCAAATTTGGTAAAATTGATACGTGTTGTCTTATCTTAGTCGGATGATTTTAAGTCGAATACTAACGTTAGTCCTCATTAACTGATAGTATCGGAATTTTTAATATTTCAAATAAAGTTGTGCAATGTATAGTAGTGTTTGTCATTATAGTATTGACGCGCCGTAATATTTTCACATTTGTTAATGTGAGAATAGCGTCACGTGAGAGCAAAGAATCACTTATAGTAGTCACAGAAAAAGTATTTATTACATAAATAAAAACATATATTTGAAAACCAATCAGTAACCATGGTTTTCATTTTCTTAACTCATTCCTATATACATAACACAGAATTATTTTTTATTGGAACGTTTGGAGTAGTCAAGACCTGGAACACTAGACAGAATAGAAATGGCGGTGATTTCGTTATTCTATTAGCTTGAGTGAGGTAATCGAGAAATTGATCGAGATCATTTACTTGCTCGCATAGCACGACGAACTCGATAGACTCGAGAAACGGTTCCGGTTTGAGATATGCCCATACAAATATTTCACTCTCGATGTAGCTCCAGCCTGTTTATAGAGTTTCAAGCTACACGGGCAGTACGTTAAATTAATTGTCATTCTATATCGAGGCGATAAACAAGTTATATCACTATACAACTAAGTTGATACACTTATTAGCTTTATAATTTCTTTCCAATCAGTTTATTTCAATTTATTAAATACTTTATACAGTACTAAGCGTATATCGTCTAACTAGTCATGTTTCCGTGACTTCGCCTGCGTATATAATAGTCTATATCACCAGCGTATGATATAGACTATTATTTCCGAGGATTACCCCCTAAAAGCAAACAAACAATCTTAGACATTTTACCTCTCTATAATATTAATGTAGAAGGACAGTGTTATCGACAGCGAGAACTTGGACTGTAATTATTTAATAAATTAGCAACAGAGAAGGATAACTTAAGAATTCGTATAAATCACAAAATATAAGAGATAGACACAGAAGACAATGAACAATAAGTGACAAATTCATATTCTAATCAAAAAAATATTATCTAAGGAGTCATTTATCACTTATCTTAGGAGGCTGGCAAAGCTGTCGTCAACAAACAGTTTAAAAAAGAAATTATTTCTTTTTAATCACGTATAAATAAATTGTGTAAAATTTGTAAAACTTTTTTACAGGATATTGTGCTCGCAGACGTAAGAAGCCTCTTACAGCAGCTGAAAAGCAGCGACGATATCGGGAAAGACTTAAAAATAACCCTGAAAAGGAGGCAGAAATTAAAAGAAAACATCGTGAGAGATACCATATGACCAAACGTTTAGTACGAGATTTAACAAGACGTGAACATCGTGCAATGAAAGAGAAATGGCGGTCAGCAGGTGCTAGACGGCGAGAAAAAGCCAAGAATAATATAAAATATATATCATTTAGAAAGATTGAACCATAATTTCCTCGTTTGAATAATCCAGTCAATAGGTTACAAGTTATTGACACTTCAGTAGCTTATCTTCCCAAAAAGCTGTCTTCAACTTAATATTTTCATCATGATTTAAAGTTCAAAATGTTTGTAATTTTTACAAATTTTCTAAACGATATATCGTTTATGTGCGATAGCTCAGATGGAAGAGTCGAACACTAGTCGATCACTAGTAACTAAGTCATGGTTCTGTATAAAAATTCACAGATTCTTGAAAGTGATAAATTAATTACGCTCGTTCGTCAAATAGAAAGAATTTCGTACGTTGACCTATGTGCCTACTGTTAGAAATCATAAACATTTTAGGTTCACTTTACTGTGACAAAATTGGCTAGATGCATCTGTGCATGCGCAATACTAGGTAATATGTTTGCGTACGAGTGAAAGAGATGTATAGTGCCGGGTCATTGTACGAAAATATCTCTGTTCGTCGACCGTGCCGTACCGTGACGGTTTAGAATTTGTGTGACTAATAATATGTTTCATTCATTCATTAATCAGCCATGTTACGTCCCCACTGCAAGGGCTCAGTCGTTCCTTATGGATAGTTAAGGAGGACGGGCCATAACCCTTCACGCTGGCCCAATGCGGATTGGAGGGTATTAACGACTGCACTGCACGGACAAACGGCTTAACGTGCTTTCCGAAGCACGGAGTAGTTCGAGATAAAAATTTTTTGGGCACCCATCCTGTGACCGACCCTTGTGAAAGATATTTAACAAAAACGATCGCGTGCCTTAGCGCTTATCCACTACGCCACCGAGCCACTCAAATATGTTTCCACGTTGCTTTTCAACTGAAAAATAAAAACTGTTGTAGACAGTTGATCGTCATATAGGTCGACTGAGATATGTCGCATTATTTTTACGAAGATCGTTTGATTTAGTTTCTTTTATTTTAATTGCTAGTTACTCGATTACTTAATTACTCGATTACTTAATTACTCGATTGTAGAGAGAGCGTGATCATCGATACTTTTAATTTTATTAGAATGGTGACACTGACTTTGACAGTTCGTTAATAAAACCAAATTGCCGCCATTTTGGCACACATTCTGTTTCCAATCGCCGAGGAGTAAAGACATCCGACGTCATCACGCTCATCTCGTTATATTTTCGTATGAAAAGTGATAAAATGGATTAGATCCACGTTGGTATACACGCCTGCAGTGTTATTTTAAAGATAGTCCTCCGATATGGACGATCTATTTGGGCTTCGTAATAGCCCCTTCGGACAACCCGCCGACAGATATGATTATATATAAAATAATAATTTATTAGAAAAATAGTGTTGTTCGAGAAGCATTTTTACTAATTTCGAGAAAAAATATTCTGGTATGTTCCAAAGAGCAGAGTAAGGTTGCAAAGGAAAATGTAAAATGGATAAATATAAAAGAATTAAATAGATCAAATCGATACATAATCATCTAGCACCGAAGTTTCTTTTCAATATTTAAGATTTTTCTTTTTAATCTTAATTTTGAGTGTGAGAGTATACTTATCGCAATTAAAATTAAGAATTGTTATTCACGTGATTAGTTACTTTATATAATAATAAATCATGAAATAATAAAACTTTAGTTTTGCATTTATTATATCCTAACTCACCATTATTTTTCAGGTTTATATAAGGTCACTAAATGGCAAATATGATTAGAAAATATAAATAAAAACTAAAAAAGAACAATGTCACAATATCTAACTAATAATCAAAAGCTTTAGAAAATGTGTTAGTAGAATTTATGTAACCAAGATGAATTTGAAAATTTAAAAATTTTATATATATTTTCAAAATCATCTCTAAGCGAGAAAAATGTGGGCGCACCGCTTGTCATATAAGTTAATTAAATGTGTTTATAATATAATAATACATATAATCTCTTAAACAGATGGCTCATACAAAATGTTCCATACCGGGAAAGGCATATCAGTACTGTTCGACAACTACTCGTACTCGTTCAAAGAGAAGGGGAAGAGTTTACTGGTCTGTTCGAGGAAGCGTAGTTGCGGTTGCGAAGCAAAATGTAAAATGGATAAATTTCAAAGAATCATTTACATCAACCCGACACACAACCATCCACCGCCGACGTTCCTAAGACTATGAATTTAATAACTTTCTAGTTGTTAAATCTTCTTACCCTATCGATTAGTAGATTTAAATAAAATGTTGTAATATACAAATAAATTAGTTGCGTATTTTATTGTGCTTGAAACTATATAGAGTACTATTAGATAAGTCTTAAGCACTATACGAGTGCTATCTTAACTAACTATATCATTTCACCTAATTGAAAATATTAGACTAATAAAATTTATAACTGACATTTGTGTTGTTTTATTTAAACAATATATTATCATGTTTTCATCCTACTTCTATTCTATACGTATACTGTGTTTAGGTACTGTTATATTTATTATTGTATTATTATTATTTTTTGTGTATATATGCATATTTATGTATGTATATGTATGTATAAGCTTGTGTGTATGTATGTATGTAGGTATGTTTATATATGAAAACATGTTTTCTCGCCATGTAAGACACCATCTACTGCCCATCTACTTAAGTAATAGTCCAGTCTAACCTACGGTTGCCTGTAAGAAATTGCTTTTTAGCGACAAGGCCGCCGATTGTACCACTAAATTGTATCGATTATCCTTTTGTTTAATTATGGTGTAGAATAAAAGTATTCATTCATTCATTCACGTTGATCTCGCAGCGAGTAAAATTATTGTCCCCCACATTCATATAAGTCAAATGATTATTAGATAATAATAAATAAAATGTTTTATGCAGATGGTTCATACAGAGTGATCAATGGCGGGAAAGGCATATCGGTACTGTTCGACAACTACTCTTATTCGTTCAAAGAGAAGGGAAAAAGTATACTGGTGTGTTCGAAGAAACGGAGTTGTGGTTGCGAAGCGAAATGTAAAATGGATAAATATAAAAAAATAACTTACATCAATCCGTTACATAATCATCCTCCACCAGAGTTCCACATTGCTGACGACGGGACTTATGTGAGAATTTCATAAAGCTTACAGTTTTCTAACCCAAACTTATTACAGGTTAGGTTAGAACACTTCAACAGTACGACTGGTAATCGAATAATGTCGCATTTCTTTCAATTCTTAACCTTAATGTGTTAACTTTAAGATAATTTTTCATGCAACCTGATGTGGTGAGTGTGTACATATAATGTACCTTCCTATATTAAAGTGTACAGTCTCAAAGTTCTAAAGACATTGAAATCATAGTCAATTTCGTTTTCGTGTTTATCTGTGGCTTTTATTCATTAAAGTGCGTGTGAATTAAGGCTACACGGTTGTTTTATTTTTAATTATCCAAATTTGTTCTGAATGATTTGTCGTCATAGGTGTTTTTCGGTTATTATTTTGTTATTTTTACATGGGTAATCTAAAATACGTCGTACGTGGACGTAGCGAAAGACGAGGACAGATGGAGGTTCCTGGAGGAGGCCTATACCCGAAAGGGGCCATGACAAGGTTTAAAATATTATTTTCTTTTTTTGCATTTATTCATTTTTTGTTATTATGTCATGGAAATAAAGAGGCTTATTATTATTATAATCTAAAATAGACTGATCCTAGAGTGTATACGGACAAGATTATTAAAATTTACATCTTCGCGGTTGATACTGGCAATATTTTTTGAATATTAAATACGACGGTTATATGCTATTAAATAAACAAAACTTTAATTTGGATAGATGTTCCAGCTTTGGCCGCCAGTCCTTAGTCTTTTACTTGCATAATTGGCTTCTCTTTGAAAGCATTATAAAGTATTAATCATTATAAATAAAATTATAAACCATCGTAACTTTTTTGACGTTTTGGATTAAATCTTTATTTTACAGGTGCAGATTTTGCTGAAATAATAAAATTAAGTGCTAAAATCGTTGTCCTTCACAAAGGTTATACTTACTCAAGACAAGGACGAAATCAGAACTTATACTATTGTTCCAAAAAGTATGTGAAATGTTCTGCTAAGCTCAAGTTGTATGAGAAAAATACAGTTGTCGAAGGACCTGGTGATCACGATCACTATCCACCTAAAATTATTAAGGCACCCGATGTCACTTCTAATAAGGTAATATTGGTCAATAATTTAAAGCCGTCTAAGAAGACCAACTGTGTTTGACAATTAAATCGCTACGCGCACTGGTTGAGGCTGTTACCCGTTATATTGATGTCACCATAAGAATTCTGATTACAGTAAGTACAGGAGACAAAAAGTCACGGTGACAGAGAGTCACCAGTGCGCTTAATATTATTATTGACAGGGCTATTAAAACACAGGCTAATAAAGCTGTTATTTATTTCTAATATCACACACGCTCTCATTAAATAAAACTACTTTTAAATACTATTACATTTTCACTAGAAAGTCATGTTGGAAGTTAATCTAATAAATAATCATTTAAAACCTTTCAATAGACTACTTTTGAAATTCATGATTTTCATTTCATGATTAAACAACTTGACCGTAATTAGAAGCTTAAAATATTGAGATAGGCATATCCGTTTCCCGTCGAATTTTACTTCTCTGTCTTCGCTATAGCGGTGTCTCTTTTGCACATTCGCGCTCAGTGGCGTTACCTGGCGGGGCGCGGTGAAGTGTTTGCAGATGTCACGTACGCGCCATTTTGTTTGTCATTGGCGTGAAGTTTCCCGTCGGAATAGTCAGTGGATTAATAATTTTAAGTGATTTTATTGTTCAAATAGTATCATTATTGTGTGTTTCTACAATACATGTGAGTACTTAAAACTTCTCTTTATTAAACGGTGTTACCGTTCGCTAATATTATTATACGAAATTGAATTGGGGATTCGAGGTGTTAATTTTATCAAACTTGAAGGTACCAACCAACTCCAATAGAGTTCGAATTCTTGGTCTTTGCTACCCCGGATTAGCATTATTATTTATTATTATTATTTTGATTGTTTTAGATAAGAATTCGATATTAGTGTTATGATGAATGATAAAACAGAAAATTGTGCTGAATTGCAAATGGCGGGTGGTTCTGACGTCAGTCATGCATCTAATAAACCGCGATCGCGTCATCGTCGGAATTCTACCACATCAAGTAGCAACAGTAGTAGTAGTACCTCTTCAACGTCTAGTTCTTCTGATTCTCAGCGTAATTCGAAAAGGAAAAAGAAGACACGTCGTCATCGTTCAAAGAAACATATTCGTAACCGTCAAATTTTAGAAAAATTATCTAAAGAAGTGGGCGAACTTAAGAAAAGTGTTATGAACTATAAGTACAATAATTACGATAACGACAATGTTTCTGCTGTATCAGACGTTAGTGGTAATCTTTATAATGAATATATTCCTGTTACTGTTGATGATTTAAATAATTCCGTGGGTGACGTTGATTTGAATTTTGATTTTGAAACTAAATTAAAAGATCCGGTGGTACCTCATACACCAACGGAATATTTGAACTTGTTAAATGAAGTGCAAAGGTTTGATAAGGTGACATGGTCTGATATTCGTTATTCTGATACACAAAAATTATATAACCACGCACCTGGATTTATAGAACTGGAGACAAATGAAATGGTAAAACCATATGATACCATACGCCACTTAGCTTATTCTGACGAGACTTATGCTGCTATAACTTTTGGCATATTAAAACAAAAAGAACTTTTTGTCGATTGCTTGCGAAATTTACTAACCTGGTCTCAAACAGCTGATGCCTCTCTTAATAATCTTAATGATAAAATCAAGGAAATATTTTTGAATGGCGATTATCCAAAAATATCAAATGATATTTTACAATTAGTATGCGGCCATAGAGCTGAAACTATAGAAATGAGAAGGGCAGGTATTCTTAACAACGTTAGAGACCCTCTCATGAAGACTGCCTTAAATCAGATTCCCCCGTCAAATACTCACCTGTTTAACGCCGAGCAATTTACGATGACTCTTGAGAAGTTTGGGGGTGTCAGAAAAACTTTTTGGCCAGTGAATAAAACTGGCACCGGGAATGCTTCGCGAGCAAAACCCGCCAGCACTACTCGTCGTCCTTCGCAAGGACAAAATTCTCATGCTATACCATCGCGTGGTGTATCTATCCCATGGGATAGTCGAAATTATACGACATACTGTGAACCCTTAGCACAACCCTCGCAGGGTAGTCATCAAACTCAATTTCCTTCACAAGGGCATATTTATACCAGCCACGATTCACAAGGTGCATTTATGACAGGCAACAGAGGCGGTATTTCCTTTCGATCCCGTGGATCAAGGACAAGACAATCGTTTCAAAGAGGACAAAAGCGTCAGTCCTCACCCTCTGCCCTCAGAGGTGGTAAGAGACATCGACAATGACTCACCGAAGTTTCGAGCCGGTCAGTTAATACTGTACCGACACCATTGGGAGAAAATGGGTGCACCAAAGTTTCTTCTTCGTATAATAACAGGGTATCGCATACCATTTCTGTTAAGGCCTCCACTCAGTGTAACAAATCTGATAAACCACCATCGGCGCACCTTAATTTCGACCGATATGTCCATAGTCGTTTCTCATATGAAACAACAAAAGGTTCTAGAAAAAGCCGCCCTTTCACCGAGCTACATTTCACCTGTTTTTAATACCAAAAAACGACGAATCATTCCGTCCCATTTTCAACCTAAAGAGATTAAATTATTATGTGCTAACCGATCGTTTTCGACTAATAAACATGTATCGAATTCCGGATTTCATCCAGCCGGGGGACTGGATGTGCAAGTTGGACCTGTCCAATGCATACTATCATCTGCCAGTAGCAAAATCCCACAGACGGTTTCTGCGTCTAATTTACAACGAAGAGTTACTAGAAATGACATGTCTCCCGTTCGGACTAAGCACTGCACCAAAAACATTCGCATGCATTACGAACTGGATCGCTCAAACTCTGCGACAGCAGAATATAAGAATAATTGTCTATTTAGACGATTATCTTATAGTGAATCAGGACCCGATTATTCTAGCCAGTCACGTCAACACTGTTGTAAAAACGCTGACTTACTTGGGTTTCGTAATAAATTACAAAAAGTCTATTCTCACTCCCCAAAAGAGGATCGATTACTTGGGTATAATTTGGAATACAAGGAACAACCGCAAGAGTTTGCCCCCCGAAAAATGTTTCTCAATCCAACGAAAAGTTGTTCAGATATTAAAAATAGGCAAAGTATCTGTGAAAGACCTGCAAAGCATTGTCGGTCTCTTAAATTTTGCCAGCTTTGTTATTCCTCGAGGCAGACTGAATCACAGAGCCACCCTCGAATTTCTAAACACATTACCCAAAGCAAGTACTTCCAGAAAACACAGCCTACCCCGCAAAGTGATGAGAGAAATGTGTTGGTGGCTACAAAATTATCAGGAAAAGACACAAATACATCTGCCTCCACCAACATTTTTCTTAACCACCGATGCTTCGGACACGGCATGGGAAGCACAAATAAACAACCTGGCTCTGTCGGGGACTTGGAGTTTAACAGAACAGAAATTGCACTGCAACAAGAAAGAGTTATTGGCTATTCTAAAAGTCCTCAAAGTCCATGCACCGCACTTGAAGGAGGCGTCAATTTTGATTCAGTCGGATAATCGAACAGCAGTGGCATATCTCCGGAACGAGGGCGGAATGAAATCCCAGGGTCTCTTAAAACGGACATACAAAATTCTTCGGATCTTAGACAATCATCGGATAGTATTCAAGATTCATTACATACCCGGAAAATTCAACGGCCATGCAGATCACTTGTCACGCCATCGTCAGGCTCCAGAATGGCACTTACTGCCAGAATTCACAGAAACGATATTCGCAAAATGGGGTTGGCCGGTAATCGATCTATTCGCATCCAAGAAGGCTCGAGTAGTGATGAATTATGCAACGTTAGATCTCAACGACAACGAAGCGATGTTTCACGATGCTTTCAGCATAAAATGGAACTTTCCACTGGCGTGGATATTTCCACCGCCCTTTCTTATTCCACGAGTATTAGCGCACCTCAATCAGGCAAAAGGAATTTATCTGATTGTAGTGCCATATTGGGAGAAAGTGTTTTGGAGGGCCGACCTCAAAGCGCGAGCCATAGCAGCTCCATACACAGTATCGAATCTGAAACGTTGGCTGATCGACACGACCACAGGCCTACCGCCTCCCAGAGTACAAGACATGACCCTGGAGATTTGGAAATGTGGGGGTGGTCAAAAGACTTAGATTCGTGGAACACTAAACAAATATCTCTGCTAAAAGCCTCATGGCGTCCTTCTACCATAAAGACATACAATGTTTGTTGGCATCGTTGGTTACAGTGGACGAATATGCATAAAATAAATCCTAAATATGCTAGTGGGTCTCAATTAGCACAATTTTTGGCAGAATTACATTTAAATCTTAATTATTCTTTCAACACTATACTTTTACATAAATCTGTTGTTTCCACTTTATGCAATGTACGAATGTCTGAAAAACTAAGCAAAAATGTTTTAGTTAAACATATTCTAAAATCAATATCTTTGAAAAATGTAAAGTTAAATAAACCTCCAATTTGGGATATTAATGCTTTGGTCACATATTTGAGTAATTATTCAGTCAAGTCTGACAATATGTTTCAAATAGTTCGTCATACGGCTACGTTATTATTGCTTTGCTCTGGACGAAGGATTCATGACCTTACCTTGTTATGCATTGATAATCAACATTACTTTATTCAAAACGATTCATTAATATTATGGCCACAATTTGGATCGAAAACTGATTGCAGAGATTACAGACAATCTGGTCGGAAATTACTTCACAATACACAGAATCAAAATCTTGATCCGGTATACTGGGTAGATAGATCAATTAATATTCTAAATGAAAGACGTTCACTGAGTGGATTCGCTAATTTGTTTATAACTTTGAGTGGCTCTCCGAAACCTGCGTCACGTACAGTTATTGCTGGATGGATCAAAACTTTGTTGAAAGAGGCTAAAATTCCAGCTACACCGGGTAGCGTTCGCTCCGCGGTGGCATCCAGAAACTGGATTGATAATTTTCCCCTTGACGATATCTTAAGAAGAGGAAACTGGAGATCAGTAAACACAT